ATCAGCTAATCATTAAGCTCTGAATCCCACCTACCTTCTTATTCACAGGGCGTGGGACACTGCTGAGCAGACACCTACAGTGGAGCACCCGCAGGGACTCCTCGAAGAAGAAAGCGAAGTTACTCACCTTGGTATAGTAACTGTTGTTCTTCGAGATGGTCCCCATGGGTGCTCCACTACCTGCCCTCCTCCCCGCTTCGGAGTCTTTGTTCGTTTTATTGTGTTACAGATACTGAGGCGGGTACAAGGAACTGGCTCAGACCAGACCGAGCAGTGCAAAAAGGTGCGAAAGCCACAAGACGCTCCCCACGCATGCATGGTCCGGCCAAACTACTGCTGCAAAAATCTCCGTCCTGCAGCACCAGGGCAAGCCCAGCACCTACAGTGGAGCACCCACAGGGACTATCTCGAAGAATGACAGTTACTGCACCAAGGTGAGTAACTTCGCTTTCCTCTCCTCATCTCTTAGGAAAGTGTCTTACTCATTGACCTATGGAATATTATGCTATAGGTCAGTCTTAATTTCTCCAGTTGAAGCTGTTCCACTGTGTCTGAAATACTGTCCAATAAGAGAGAGAATATAACTGACTCTGTAATCCAGAGCTAAGGCTACACTGCAATTAAGCATGGCGTGGAATATCGCTACCCTTCATTTGCATAATTAATTAGCAGCCGCTTTTGCACAAAAAGGAGCTGTGTAGATGGCTCCTTTTTGTGCAGAAACTTCTTGCGCAAAAGCAGCTGCTAATTAATTATGCAAATGAAGGGTAGCGATATTCCACGCCATGCTTAATTTGCATAAGCTTTTCCGCAAGAAGGCTACAGTGTGTAGCCGTTGCCCAGTGGTTTGAAAGCACTCCCCAGCAACATGAGAAACCCATGTTTATATTTATTCTTCATATCAGTTAGGGAGAATAGAACTGCCTTCTCTCACATCTTGGCAGAGTGTGCTAACTACTGAGCTAAAGGGATGAGTTGTCCTTCTCTTCCTCTCTAGTCTGTTTTGTATGGAGTTAGGCATGCTGTGAGCATACCTACCACAGAAGCTCTCCAGGAAAGTCAGGCATGATGATGCCAATGCTCAGGGTCCTGTTGGGGTTTTGGCATGAAATAAGCACCTAGTTAATGTGCAAGGTCAGGACTGAGGCAGCTGTGCTTCAGCTACTGAAATTTAAACTTCTTGGAGACTTTAATGTTAGAAATTTAGTTGTCTAGGGCAGGGGTTCTCAAACTTTGTGATACCGCGACCCCCCTCTAAGTTGCTCACGGCCCCCCGGGGGGTCAGGACCCACAGTTTGAGAAACACCGGTATAGGGAATTTACACACCTCCAGGGTTAGACAACAACTGAGTGGGATTTTTGAGAATGCCAGTGGCACCTAAAGTGACAGGCATCTAAGTTTCCTTTGTGGACCTCACCGAAAGTATTATTTTGAATCTGCCTTTATCTAGACTTCTGTTTTGCACTTGCAGTTTTGATTGATTAAAGAATTTGCTGGATATGTTGTGTTGTTCCTGTTTCTTACTAAAGACAACACATGGGGGACTTCAGGGGAAAGATGGATGCTCAATTTTTTATCGGTGGGCCATCATCTTTTAGCTGTTATGCAACATTCATGGAACATTTTGGAATGTTTTTCTAAAAATAATCTCATGTGTGCTTATTAGTATTTTACCTTACTTACTCATTAAACTCAGATTTCTTTTAATATGGAAAAATACATAAAACTATATGCTCATAACCAAAAATTACTCAGCATTTTTGTTAACAGTTTTCATATCTGTGAATTGGTATTGGTTTCACATGAGCTTCAGAGATTTACATTATTGTTTTCTTAGGTTTAGATAAAACATTCAAAAACGCTTCTAGGTACCTTTGTCATATTTTCCATATTATGTTACCATCAACATAATAAAAAAAGAATAAATTCAATGGTCTCCTCAAAATCCACAAATGGAGGGATGGGGGAGAAATGTAATTCAAGTTACAGGCCTTACCACAAGTCTTCATTTTCAAAAGTTTAGGAAAAGAAGTTGGCTTTGCAGCATATTCTGGAGGTCAACAATATGGGTTATTTCAGCCTGGGGGGAGGAGATGAATTCCAAAATCCAGGCCTACATGGAGAAAAGCCTGCCTAAAAACAGGTTCAATTTCTGAGTTGATTTAAGGTGGTTTTATGTAGCGTGCATATGGGAAACTCATCTTGAGGTGATAAAGGTATGGATCATACTTGCAAAGTCTGCATCCAAAAGAAATAGTAGCAATGTCTTAGCCAGACATAGATGAAAGAAAGCTGTCTTGGTCACTGTTGCTATATGATCATCTAACAGCAGCTGAGAATCTAACATAATGCCCCTTCTGAAAACTGGTGTAACAAATGGTAGACATGCACCCTTAATTAAAGAGGCAAACATAATCCTCACTATATATTTTGGCTGAATGCTTATTCTTAAAGCATGATTTCCTTTTCATCTGGACAGAGGTTCAGCCAATTAGCCCAATCTCTACCAAAAATTGGCTGGATCAGATAAAATAGAGATATAGAGCTTGGAATCATTAGTATAATGAAAACACTGTGTCGTCCCATGCCTTCTTGCTAACCCTTCTAACGGCTCCATATGGATATTGAACAAAAACATTATAATGATAACTTGGTAACACTACTGTCAGTGATGAAACTATGTAATTACAGAAAGCACTGTGATAAATTGGTACTCAATATGTTCCAAAACTACTTTTCAATTTTTAATCTTCTGACTTTTCTAGACTTCTGACTTTTTTAGACTTTTCTAAACTAATTCTAGATTTTAGGAATCATTACACCTGTGTATATGTATTTTAACACAGATTTTGGCAGTCCAGAGAAAGTGGGGGAGGGAAATACTTGAATTTTTGTAGTAATTGTATGTTTCTGAACTCAGAATAGTTTAAGAAGTTTACATGATTTGCATATAACCAAATTTCAGCATGAGGAAACCTGAAATATTTGATATTAAATAAAGACATTTCTTGAATGCTAACTCAGACTTAATTACAGCAGTGTTAATTGGCACCACAAGCACAAGCTTATTTGCTAACTCTTAAAATATATTGATAAATTGTTACACATGTTTTGGAGATATGGTCAATAGTATCATTATATATCGTAGGTCACACATATACTATCTAAAATCATCACCAGATTATCTCAATTTTTTTCAAAGACAGCAGTTAAAATGATCCAGTTCTAGCATCACTAAGTCAACTGAGTGTCACACAAACACCACGGCTACGTCTACACTGGTCCCTTCTTCGGAAGGGGCATGCTAATTTTGAACTTGGGAATAGGGAAATCCGCAGGGGGATTTAAATATCCCCCGCGGGATTTAAATAAACATCGCCGACGCTTTTTTCCCGGCTTGGGGAAAAGCCGGAAAAAAGCGTCTAGACTGGCGCGATCCTCCGGAATAAAGCCCTTTTCCGGAGGATCTCTTATTCCTACTTCAAAGTACTTTGAAGTAGGAATAAGAGATCCTCCGGAAAAGGGCTTTATTCCGGAGGATCGCGCCAGTCTAGACGCTTTTTTCCGGCTTTTCCCCAAGCCGGGAAAAAAGCGTCGGCGATGTTTATTTAAATCCCGCGGGGGATATTTAAATCCCCCTGCGGATTTCCCTATTCCCAAGTTCAAAATTAGCATGCCCCTTCCGAAGAAGGGACCAGTGTAGACGTAGCCAACCTGTTTAAACTTAGAACTGCAGATAGAACTGATGCTATTCTTAATTTGTGTATAAGCATCCAAATATTATGGTGGTGAAGCACTGAAATATACAGATAGTACTACTCTTATCTAAAACCAGATAAATGAAAAAACAAAACAAAATACATCTAAGTGAACTAAAATGACTTTAAAAGGCATTCATAACACAGTGTGAAAACTCTGCCTGATTTAGATTAGATTGTATTTCCTAGTTCCGGTGTTTTGAACAATATTACATAATTTTTTAATCCAGTAAACTTTGGATGGCCTGCTGTAGCCTTTAGGTCAAAACTTTAATTGAAGTCTGTTTTGCCTGAGCAAGGACTGCCATTAGTCTTTTTAAAAACATTCTGAAATCAAATCTGATTCACAAACATAGCCTGATATTTATCTTGAGTCTTAAAACTATAGATATTACTTTCATTAACATGCAGTAGTTCTTGGTATGTAAATACAGAGAAAGTTATTTTTGAATATGTAAATATTGGAGATGGTGATCAGATGCCTAAATGAATTCTGACTGGAAAACAGTCAATATGGCTGTGTCTAGACTACAGGGTTTTTTTTGAAAAAAGTGGCCTTTTTTCTAAAAAACTTCATCTGCATCTAGACTGGCGCCACATTCTTTCTAAATTAAATTGAAAGGACGCGGTGGTTTTTTCAACAGCAGTAAACCTCTTTTTAGGAGGAAGAATACCTTTTTTTGAAAGAGCTCTTTTGAAAAAAGGCGTTCTTGACCGCAAATAGGGCTTTTTCGAAAGAGAGCATGTGCCTGTCTAGATGATCACTTTTGAAAGAAGCTTTTTCAAAAGATTCTTTAGAAAAAGCTTCTTTTGAAAGAAGCACGCAGTCTAGATATACCCTAAAAGAAAATATTTATGGCCCTGCTGAAGTTAACACAAGATTTGCCATTGACTTCAGTGGCTGTATGATCAAATCCTTATTCTTTAATCATTTGTAATATAGTCTCTAATTATGCAAACACTTATGTAAATTAATCTTTACATATTAAACAGAACTACTGAATTATATAAAGTTATTTACCTGTACAAATGTTTGCAAGATTCGTGCCTTAAAATGGCCATCTATTCTAATATTAACTCCATATTGTCTGCAAAATTATCACAATGCATTTTGTAGATATTAACTGATCATAAGAGTAATTGAATATAAGAATTCATAATGTTCAAATAGGCTGTTTAATATTAAATGATTGTAGTATATATATAGTTTGTTGTTAATACTAGAATTTTCCTCTCCTCAGGATGATGATGGTATGTGCTATCCTTCAACCAATAGCCATGAACAGACATTTGCCTACTTGATTGTGGATCCCCTGAAACGACATATTCATGTATTGTACCATTCTTTTGGTGGAGGCTTATTTTTTAAGTGACTATTCTTAATCTCCAGTTCTATATATTAGTGGTATAATGGAATGGAGGAGCTCTTCTTTCTGTATGGAATCAATTAACACTTTCATAGTTCCATTCCCTTCAATGAAATATACATTGCCTGCCTACACAAAAATGTGACCTACAATATACATTTAACATAGTTTTTTTGAATTATTATCAAGGGATGTTTTATGTTCACAAATTATAATTACATATAAAATGTTTTTAAAAGCTTTGTTACATTGATTTTAAATTGTAAGATTCAGATCCTGCAAACCCTAATGCTTGTACATACTTTTACTTAGCCCCTTAGAAGTCAATGAAACTAATTGTGCATAAATCTAGGATTGGGGCCATAGTGAGTGCATCATATTATCTGAATGCGGCTTGCAGTAACTTGCATAGAACTCAAAAGGATCCATTAATCTTGCTTTCCCCACCCCCACATTGTTACCTGTTGTGTTTCAAAATCCTCAAACATTAAAACTGTTATTCTCCATCTTTTTTCAAAAATGTTAACATTTTATTTTATATAATTAGTTAATAAATAATAGTTGTGTTATAGGCTTACAGGTATGTATTAAGCAGCATGTTGAATCAACCTCGAGTGGGTGTATAGTAAGTTAAATTGACTGAATTGTTTCCATTGGACTCTATATCAGAAAGGTGATCAATCCCCATAGTAAGCTCTGACTAGAGAAAAATCTGTTTTGAATGTAACTGTATAATTTACCCTACCAGAAACGCCACTTTAGTCGTTAAAATTAGTCTCCATAGTGGTACTTGGAGGGTGCGGTTAGGTTCCCTTGTGAGAAGGAGGGTTTCAGCTCTCCCCACCCCCTATGGAGACCAGAGATCCAATTTCTTTCTTCTCCGATTCCCCCTCCCCACCTCTATCTAATTCCGTGGATAGAATGGGAAGCAGTGAGAAGCCACGTTTCTCCCGCCCGCATTCAGGGGAGGAGGCCCTCGCCTCTCCCTCCCTCTCCCGGGGGCCATGGCTGGGAAAAGTCTCCGCCGACCCCCTCCCCGTTCTGGGGATAAAGCGTCTTTCTCCCTCCCCATTCCAGCGCGGAGGTCGCGGGGGGAGGGGCGCAGCAGAAGGCTGGAAGTTTGGAGGAATTTATTTTAAACTTTTCGATGCATGGACTTCAGCATTGAAGGGCAGCGTGGCGGGCGGGAGTAGAGGATTAAAAAATGAGGCGGGCGGTTGCGAAAGGGCTGGCTCTCCGGGATGTTGCGCGAGAGGAAGTTTGCTCGCGACTTGGTGGCGGCCGCTGACTGCCAGATTCTATGCGGACGGGCGCATAAAGAACTGCCAGTGATAGTGGTACCCGGCTGTGACTGGATTCTGAGCGGGCGGGCGCAGTAGGACTAAAAGTTGGCTGCAGGAAACGGTGCGGGCGGGCTCCGCGAGGGGCGGAGCTGGCTGGGAGTGATTCGGGCGGGCACATCTCAGAACTTTTGTTTAGCGAGTTGTGCGAGTTAGTTTCCGCCGCCGGGACAGAGGGGTGGGCCGGGCTCCGGGAAGTTGCTGCTAGGTCGGGCTTGTTTTGCCCGTTGGTGCTGCTGGGCGTGGGGGGCAGAGCAGCAGAAGGAGCACCGGCAGGGCAATAGGGTATGTGGAGTATGGGAGTGATTCGGGCGGGCACATCTCAGAACTTTTGTTTAGCGAGTTGTGCGAGTTAGTTTCCGCCGCCGGGACAGAGGGGTGGGCCGGGCTCCGGGAAGTTGCTGCTAGGTCGGGCTTGTTTTGCCCGTTGGTGCTGCTGGGCGTGGGGGGCAGAGCAGCAGAAGGAGCACCGGCAGGGCAATAGGGTATGTGGAGTAGAGAGCCCGGGATCTGAGTCGCTGAGCCCCGGTACGGACGCGGAGTCATGGATCCCGGGCAGCCTCAGCAAGCGCAGCCCCCAGCGCAGCAGCAAGCGCCGCAGCCGCCAGGAGCCCAGTCTGGCGCGGGGCAGCCCCCGGGCGCGGGGCCTCCTCCGGCCGGGCACCAGATCGTGCATGTGCGGGGCGACTCGGAGACCGATCTGGAGGCGCTTTTCAACGCGGTGATGAACCCCAAAGGCGCCAACGTGCCGCACACGCTGCCCATGCGGCTCCGCAAGCTGCCCGACTCCTTCTTCAAGCCGCCCGAGCCCAAGGCCCACTCCCGCCAGGTGAGGGGGGGACTCTCCCGCCTCTCGTGGGTGGGGGCGGGGCGCGCCGGGGCGTGTGTGTTGGGGGGGATATCGGAGAGCGTCCCCTTCAGTCGCCCCTTCTCCTCCTCCTGTGTGTGTGGGGCGGGGAACGCCCCCCCCCTCCTGTGTGCGGGGAGGGGGTGGTCTGTCCTTCGGCCCCCGTCGTGTGTGGGATCTCTTCAGCCCCCACTCGTGGGGAGGAGTGAGCGCCCCCTCATGGGTGGGGGCAGGGCCCCCTTGCACTCGGGGTTTGCCGGGGAGCTCGCCCCTTGGAGTCTTGTGGGGCAGCTCCCTTGCCCTTTTATGACGGGGGTGCTCGCTTCTTTGTGCCTATTTTTGGGACCCTTCGGGATTTTACTTTGGAAACTTTACATTTAGTTCGGCGCAGGAGTTACCAGTCTCAGCAGCTGATTTTTGCACTCACATTAGGCCCTGTCTCCGCCAGGGGCTCTCACTCCCCAGCTACCTTACTTGGGAGCCCAATAATTGCACTCTTGTTTCCCAGCGTGTGGGGGGGGGGGGAATTAACGGCCCTAAAATTATTCCTAAAAATGTTTCACTCGAAAAAACAAAAGGATTTGGTTCTCTAATGTAATAGTCAAATAGTTTGTTTATTTGCGTGGAGAGGGAGTGAGGAATTGTTGCCAAACTTAAAAAAAAAAAAAACAATCTGGATGTGGTTTTTCCACCATTTCATTATTGGACTCCATAGGATTGAATTTCCCACAGCAGAAACTAATTCTAGTGCCCATGGGTTTTTCTGTCCCTGTTGGTAGGCCTTTCACTTTGCTGAAGTATCAGTAAATTAACCATATCTGCAAATTGAATTGAAATAATTTAGCTGCTGCAGTCCTGTAATCTGAACACTCACGCTTTGTCTACATTGGCACGATCTTGCGCCAAAGCAGCCACTTTTATGCAAAAACATGCTGCCTGTCTACACTGGCGGGGAGTTCTTGCGCAAGAACACTGAACGTTCTAATGTGTGAAATCCGTGCTTCTTGTGCAAGAACTATGATGCTCCCGCTCAGGAATAAGCCCTCTTGTGCAACTGTTCTTGCGCAAGACACCAGTGTAGATAGGCAACATGAATTTCTTGCTCAAGAAAGCCCGGAGCTTTCTTGCACAAGAGAGCGTCTACACTGGCAAGGATGCTCTTGCGCAAAAGCACATCTCTTGTGCAAAGGCACATGCCAGTGTAGACGCTCTCTTGCGCAACTACTTTAATGCAAGAACCCTTGCGTTAAAGAGTATTTGCACAAGATTGCGCCGATGTAGACACAGCCCCAGGGTACAATCCTGCAAGTTTTTAGTACAAGATGAAAAAGATCTGCAGGATTGGCCCCATTATAAGTCCGTAGCAGAATCTGTTCTTTAAGGAATTTGACTCTGCCAAGACGAAAATGCTGATACAGATATGACTAAAAGTTAATGTTTAGGCTGCTGTTACTAAATTTCTGTAAACTGCCTCTCGTATGTTTTTGCTAAGCAATGAATTTAGCTGATAAGTTATAAAGTAAGATATTATAAGATGGTGTCACTTTATCTAGATAGTCAAAAAAGAGATGTGCTGTGTATTTCACAGGTATCTGGTATTCCTGTAGTTAAGGGCCTGTCAATATTTCCATTATTAAACTCAGATTTGGCAGGATTTATAACTGCTGTAAAACATTTACTCAAAGCTAAACTTTGGCATATATCCTCTCAGCCTAGGAGTTAATTCATTTTCCAAAATTTTTAAAGGACTGCAAAGAAAATACAAAAGCCTTCGAGATGGGTTATTTCTATATTCTTGTAACTTGTCAGAAATACGAATTATTGGTGGTGATTTGCATAGGGTTTGTCCCATTTAGAATTGGTGGTAATAGTGCATGTGAACTCTGAGATCTGAGGAAAAGCACAGTTCTTAGAAATATTTTTACTATACACGTTTTTATCATGCTGTTTTATGCACAAAGGTAAACTTCTGTGTATTCAGCAATAATTTTCAGATAGATGTATATTGTTGAGTATATATTAAGGCCACCGTAAATGCAGCTCAGCATATTACATATTTGAATTGTGTTATATGAAGTACACCTTGTTAATACTTACCTGTATAACATACACTTTTAAAGCTTGGGTGTGGTGCATTTCAAATGTTGTTAGAGCATACAGTGTAACTAAAATCTTGATGCTGTCTGGTTTTAGTACAATATATTTCAATAAATCATGGAGTTAAATAAAACCCAGTGGAAATCATGCTCTTATTAGGGTCATTGTTGGCTTTTAATTTTAAAATGATTATACACTGTAGTGTTGTCCCTTTTCCTTGGTTCTTGTTTGAGGCTGCCATTAGATTATCCACCTTGGAGACTGGGGGAGAGCGGAAGGGGGTGATAAGGAAAATAAAGCTTCAGAGGGGTTGCCGAGTTAGTCTGTAACAAGAAAAACTTAAAAAACAACAAATAGTCTAGTAGCACCTTAGAGACTAACAAAACTTGTAGATGGTATCATGAGCTTTCGTGGGCACAACCAACCCACTTCAGATTACCTGAAACCAAAGAAAACATGTACTTTCCATTTGAGTGAATTTTAGCAAAATGCAGACACTGTGTAACATAGGGCAAAATACTGATAATTTTTTGAGAGTTTGCATGCTATTACATCAGTAGCTGATTTAATGAGACATGGGGGATATGAGCATACTCATCTGAGTTACAAAATAGGCCCCATGTATACTGCAATACAGTAAAACTCCAGTTGTTCGGCATCCAGTGGTCCGGCACTCCTGATAGTCCGGCACCACCTGGAACCCGGAAGTGCTCTGGCCAGCTGGACAATTGGAGCTGCTCTGCCCCCGGCTTCCCCAAGTGTGCCGCTGGTCAGTCTCAGCAGTGGCGGACTCGGGGAAGCCGTGGGGCAGAGCACCCAAGCTGCTCTGCCCTAGGCTTCCCCAAGTCCGCTGCTGGTCCATTTCAGTAGACAGGTTCAGTAGTTGGTCCCAGCACTGCGGGACCAACAGGGCAGCACCCCAGCTGCTCTGCCCCTGGCTTCCCCAAGTTCCGCTGCTGCTGAAACTGACCAGCGGCAGACTTGGGGAAACCGGGGGCAGAGCAGCTGGAGTGCTGCCCATTCTGCACAGTTCCCTCCTGACCCCGACCCCTCCCCCAGACCCGTCATAGCCCCCCTTCCGGTACTCTGGCATATCCAATAATCCGGCACCCTCTGGGTCCCAAAGGTGCCGGATTATCGGAAGTTTACTGTACCTAGATTCAGGGGTATGGCAAGTGCTGATATTTACATAAAATGTAGATGTACAGTAGGATAATTTGCACATGGGAAGTGAATGCTCTCATATTGGCTGTGTCTACGCTGGCATGAATTTCCGGGAATGCTTAAAACGGAATACTATTCTGTTTTCAGTTTTTCCGGAAAAGGAGCGTCTACATTGGCAGGCTGCTTTTCCGGAAAAGCCCTTTTTCCGGAAAAGCGTCTGTGGCTAATGTAGATGCGCTTTTCCGGAAAAGAGCCCCGATTGCCATTTTCGCGATTGGGGCTTTTTTCCGGAAAAGACTACTGGGCTGTCTACACTAGCCCTTTCTGGAACAGTGTTCTGGAATAAGGACTTATGCCCGAGCGGGAGCAGAATAGCTTTTCCGGAATAGTGGCTGATTTTGTACAGTAGAGCATCGTTGCTTTTCCGGAAATTCAAGGGCCAGTGTAGACAGCTCGCAGCTTATTCCGGAAAAGCGGCTGATTTTCCAGAATAAGTGGCCCAGTGTAGACACAGCCATAGAATACTAGAACTGGAAGGGACCTCATGATCATCAAGTCCAGTCCCCTGCCTTCATGCGTCAGGACCAAACATAGTCTATTATCATCTGTGATAGATACCTATCTAACCCGAGTTTAAATATATCCAGTGATGGAAATTCCAGAACTTCCCTAGGTAATTTATTCCAGTGTTTAACCATCCTGACAGGAAGTTTTTCCTAATGTCTAACCTAAACCTCCCTTGTTGAAGTTTAAGCCCATTGCTGCTTTTCCTATTATCAGAGGCCAAGGAGAACAATTCTCCTCTCTTCCCCCGCTCCCCCCCCTTTAGATACCTGAAAACCACCGTAATGTCCCCTCTCAGTCTTCTCTTTTCCAAACTAAACATGCTCAGTTCTTTCAGTCTTCCTTCATAGGTTATGTTCTCTAGACCTTGAATCATTCTTGTTGCTCTTCTCTGGTCCTTCTCCAATTTTTCCACAACTTTCTTGAAATGTGGTGCCCAGAACTAGACACAATACTCCAATTGACGCCTAATCAGTGCAGAGTAGAGTGGAAGAATGACGACTTGTGTCTTGCTCACAACATTCCTGTTAATGCATCCCAGAATCATGTTTGGTTTTTTTGAAACAGCGTCACATTGTTGACTCATATTTAGCTTGTGGTCCACGATGACCCCTAGATCCCTTTCTGCTGTACTCCTTCCTAGACAGTCACTTCCCATTCTGTATGTTTGAAATGGATTGTGCCTTCCTAAGTGGAATACTTTGCATTTGTCCTTATTAAACTTCATCCTATTTACCTCAGACCATTTCTCCAGTTTGTCCAGATCATTTTGAATTATGATCCTATCCTCCAAAGCAGTTGCAATCCCTCCCAGCTCAGTATCATCTTCAGACTTAATAAGCGTACTCTCTTTGATGAACATATTGAACAGAACCAGTCCCAAAACAGACCCATGTACATGAGTCAGTATTTAAATACAGTTTTCATAGTTATTTTAGTTCAATTATCCATTGATTTGTGTCTATATCAGAAAAACTACATAGTTTAGTTTGGAATTCACTGTTCTCAATTCAGGAGAGATCCATGCTGTGAAAATTCAGATCTAGTGGGCCAGAGTTGAGGAGGGCTGGTAGAAATGTTTGCAGAAAATTTGATTTGTTTGTTCACACTCTGGTTGTAGCCAGTACTGCTCCCTTTTTAATACACACCACACAGAGAGTACAAATAGTCTGGTAGCACTTTAAAGGCTAACAAAACATGAAGATGGTATCATGAGCTTTCATGGGCACAGTCCACTTCTTCAGATGACCCTGTGCCCATGAAAGCTCATGATACCATCTACGTGTTTTGTTAATCTTTAAAGTGCTACCAGCCTATTGGTTGTTTTTTAAGTTTATCCTGTATAGACTAAACTAGGCTACCCCCTGAAGCAAGTTAAAGTACAGTTTACTTGAAGTTTCACAACCCTCTTCTTGCATATCATATCTGGCACTGTAATGAAATACAGTAGTCTTTTGTGTGGCCTAATTTCTGTAGTCACTACTCCTGCAGAACTCCCATTGAAGGCTATGGGCACAATAATCATTGTTGCCATGTTTTGAGAACTGTGGTATAAAACACTAACAATGCAGATTGGCACTTTACACCCACTTTGCATAGTCATTTCCATTAATCCAGTATGCAAGGGAATTGTGACTCACCTATTATAGGAGTACCCTTTGAAGAAGGGGATAAGATCAGGCCTTAAGGAATGATCCTCAGAGAGAAAATGGCCTTTTATATGCGCACAAAGTAAACCTAAACAAGAATGATAAACATTTAAAATTAATATTCCCTGGGTAAGGAATATACAAAACATTTGCAAACTGGCTCTTTTAAAGTAATCTACTTTGGCCTACATCCTTGAATGTTAGCAACTTGAGAATAAGTAGAATTTTGGAAACAATGTATTTGCGTGCTTGTCTAGAAAACATTGAGTAAATTCAAAGTAGGTTGTGTTCCAACAGGTATGTTGCTGCTGAAGTAAAATACCTTCTAACAATTTAACTCCTTGACAGGCCAGCACTGATGCAGGGTCAGCAGGAGCCTTGACTCCTCAGCATGTCCGAGCTCATTCCTCTCCAGCTTCGCTGCAGGTAGGAGCTGTTTCTCCAGGCACGCTTACCCCCTCTGGAGTTGTGACTGGTCCTGGAGCTGCACCTTCTTCTCAACATCTTCGCCAGTCTTCATTTGAGATTCCCGATGATGTCCCGCTGCCCCCAGGTTGGGAGATGGCTAAGACGCCATCTGGCCAGAGATATTTTCTGAAGTAAGTAAAATCTATTTGAAAAAAAAGTTAGCTGCGTTTCCTAACAAACTTTGTGTTCCATTTTCACGAATCGCTGTGTGAATAGGAATCACTGCACCTTTACTAAAGTTCATTTTGTGTAAAATATATTGTAAAACCAGAAGGCATGATTTTCAATACTGTAGTACTGAGCACTTGTAGCTGCCACTGACTTTAGTTGGAGGTGAGAGTATTTGGCTCTTACGAAAATCCTGTATATTTTAAATACATCTCATTCTTAAATATGAAATGGTGATTTTTGGTGTGTGTTTTAACTATCATTTGAATATATATAGTGATATTTTGAATTAAAGTTCTTCAGGCCAAAATCAATGGAAACATCATCCAGATTGCTACAAAATGGATGTAAAAAATGTTAAGTAACTTTGGCAGATATTATGGTGAGAGGAATAATGGTTTGTTCTGATCGTTCAAAGTGTAATGAGATAGGCACTGATGGTGCATTTCTATCCACACGTGCAGAGTCCATTGGCACATGGATCAAATTCCAAGATTGGAGTTTATACTTCTTAAACATTAGCTTTTTTATTTTTTGGCTTGAAAGGGAAAACTCGTATTTTTTAAATTCTTACTTATTCACATATGCCTTTTTTCCAATAGTAAAATTAGTATGACCTTTTCTATAACTGACAAGAGCTTACACAATGTGATATGTAACCCATTAGGAATTTTTTTTATGCTGCGTAGTTTCTAGGGATGTTACATTGCGTTTAATCAGCTAATTGAGTAGTTGGTGCCTATCTAGCCTGCTGTGGGTCTGCAGTTTTACTACATTTAAACTGCAGAACTAGCTAGAGTAGCTTCCATGTCCGGCTCACGCCAGTTCTGGGATGGTGTGGCTCTGCCCCCTGGGAGGAACCAGCTTTTAAGCTGACCCAGCACTGACTCCTCCTTCCCCACTTCTTGCTGCTTCTGATACAGAGGCAACAAGGGGGAGGGGAGCAAGTCGTTGACTCGACTACATGCTTATTAGGTAGTTGACTAGTCCACTGCTCCCTTACATCCCTAGTAATTTCTAAAGCAGCAGGAGTACTATTCTTCTGTTTGAAAGAGTGACCACCAAGAGACCCTCAAATACTTGCACGGTGTGTTTTAATATTTTATTTTATTTTATTTATTTTTAACACATTCAACTGGCAGGCTCTGAGTAGCCCATTATTTGCAATTTTGAATTGAGGGAAAATAAAGCATATATATCTATATTCAGGGCTTGCCAAGCAGCGGCGAGCCCCACTCGCCAGCCGTGTGGTTCTGCGTTCTGCGCATGCGCAAATCACTTTGTGCCGGCTCTTCTGGGTTGTAATCTACTCGCCATAGGCAAGGAGATTACATTATTTGTCGAGCCCTGTCTATATTTATCTATTGCTCTACCTATATATAAAAAAATTAGTTTACTTGAATCAAATCAGGCATTTCAGTAATCATACCTTGCTTACCTAAAGAGTATTGTACACTTCTGTATCATGTTTACCAAAATAAAATATTCAAGCTTTAATTATTTGGGAAATTGATCTGTGTTAAGAATGTAAAAATAAGCAGTAGCCAGATCCAGATAGATTATATCTGTGGGTTTTTTTCTCTGTATTACTGAATAATATGTTTAAAGCCAGTATCTAATATACTTTTGGCCAGGCACTGCACTTTTGAGCTTTTAGAATTAAGGAAATCTATGCCAGCTAAAAATATTTCTCACTGGTTATTGAGGAGCTCAGCATAAATTCTGAAATTCAATCAAAACCATTTTTTGACTTTACTACTTACTCTTAAGAGATAGCTTATATAAAATAGAGCAGAATTGCAGGCACAACAGTCTGGTAATTCACATCAAATGTAATGGATTGAAAGTTGTACAACTGTTAGTGTTCTTACTATTTTTAGTAATTATAGACAATTTCAATTTTATAGAAAGCGTTTTATAGCTTTATAAGAGATGCAAATATCTTTACACTTAAATACATTTTTATAATTGATTCTTTAATTATGCTCATTCAGGTGAAAGCAGAGGAAGGATTTGATCTTGGAAAGCTTTTCTACAGTTTCATTATTACTACAGAAAGTCTTTTCTTTTTTTTCTGCAAGTTTTCTTTTTTTGTCCTTTCTTGGTGTCCTGGTATCCATTTCAAAGGGTCAGGTTTCAGCAAGAACAATAAAGAGCCTGAGACTGGAAAGTACACACAAGTCTGGCAAACTCATCTGCATGAGCAAGGTCGTTTGTTCTCAAGCAGACATCCAAAGTAAATGATTGAAAGAGCTGCTAGCTGTGAAGGATGTGTCTTGAAGGGGAAAAGAGTGGAAACAAACCAGGTTGTTAGGAAGGAAAATAAAGGCTTTACTTTTTGAACCTCTCCCTGCTGGGTCACATGCTGACCTAGGGAGATTTTCAACAACTTAATAGGCTGCTTTCTTTCTACTTTTGTTGGGTGATACAGTGCTTTGGGAGAGTCTGATGAGGACAGTTCTGAAGGCTCTGTTCACACTTGAAGATCAACATTTGTTGTCCCTAATAGGTCATATAATACTGTATACAGGTGTAACCCACAAGTCTCATTGCAGTTCAGAATTACTTATGTTTATCTTTATAACTGGGGTACCTGAGAGACTCTCTGGATATTTCAAAAACAAAGAGCTTTCTGGAAGAATTACATTTCCTGTAATTAAAAGGAAGTTTCATAAGTTTTAATAAAACAAGTATTTTGAATTTTAGATAGATACATTGCCATTTTAAAACCGCTTCTAAGAACTAGGTATGTATTCTATTTTTATTTTGACCTTTCTCAAAACAAAAGTATCCAGACTTATGCTGCTAATATTACTTTTGTGCTTTAATACAGCCAAATATAAATATATACGTCTTGGATCAAAGAATGTAGGTCATATTTTCAGGATGGAGCACTTGCTCAGTCATTGCTTCCCAGAACAGATTTGTGGGTTCTGGTAGATTATTAGTTTAACATGAGCTTTCAATGTGATGATGTGGCCAAAAGAGCTTTCTGATCCTTGGGTGTGCATAAATGGGGAAGTCTTGAGTAGGAGTAGAGAAGATATTCAATCTCTGTATTTGGCACTGGTGTGTCTGTTGCTGGAATACTGGGATCCATGTTTAAGAATCTTGATAATCTTCAGAGTGTTTGGAGAAGAGCTATAAGAGTGATTAAAGGGCTAGAAAATATGCCTGATAGACTCAAGGATCTGTTCAGAAGATTAAGTGTTGACTCAGTTCCAGCCTGACTCTAATAATGGGCTATTCTGTCTGGCAGAAAAAGGTACATTATCATCCAGTGGTTAGAAAGTTGAAGTTAAAGAAAATCAGACTAGAGACTGGGTGTACAGAGACTGGGTGTTTACATTTTTAACGGTGAGAGTAATTGATCATTGGAACATTTTACCAAGGATTATGGTGGAATCTTCTTCGCCAACAATTATTAAATCAAGAATGGATGTTTTCCTAAAAGATATGCTATAGGCATTGTTTTAGGGAAGTTCTCTGGCCTGTGTTCAGAGATCAGTATTCTCCTCTAGCCTTGGAATTTATAAGCAAATTTTGCTTATGTATAATTGAGTCTCTCAACAATATCAGTGTTTTGGTTCCTTTGATAATCAGCCTCTTCACTAGCTTGGTGTATTGTTGCTTTTTGTTCCCATTGCCTCGTTCAGTAGACTTTACCAGAAAGGATCATGCTTTCATGGAAAGTCAAATAGAAGTACATTTATACAGAACAAGTTAAAACAGGGTTCGGCAACCTTTCAGAAATGTCAAGTATCAGAGGATACCGTGTTAGTCTGAATCTGCAAAAGTGGCAAGGAGTCCTGTTATAGACTAACCGAAGTGTTGGAGCATAAGCTTTCGTGGGCAAAGACCCACTTCGTCTTTGTCCACGAAAGCTTGTGCTCCAACACTTCGGTTAGTCTGTAAGGTGCCACAGGACTCCTCGCCGCTTTCAGAAATGGTGTGCCAATATTTAACTTATTCACGGATCTTTGTGGGGGGGGGGGAAGGGGAGGCTTGGTATGGTGACCATATTTTCTGAACCAGCTGCAGCTAGGGAGAACAGTTAATTTAAATGATTAAACAAATTAAGCATTTTAACTTTCTCATGTTAGTTTATCAACTTCATTTGAAATAAAGTAAAATATTATGTTCAACACAAAAGGTTTCAATGTTTTCTTTCTTTATGGCAAGGGTGGGAAACCTATATTTGGGTCAGGGGTCACTGATTCACAGACAAATCAGTTGGGGACCACACAAGTGAGAAGCAAAAAAAACTTCTCCAAAATACTCCAACCCTCACTGATGTGGCCCTCAGCTGAGGCTCCTCACTTGTCTGGTGCTCTAGCCTCACGGGATGAGGGGAAGGGATGGGGAGGATTGAGGTTCTGGGTTTCCCATGGGCCAGGTTTACTTTGCTGGGGTTCTGGAGTTAGTGGATTTTATGGACCCTCTTAGGCTCTGGGGTAGTGACAAAAAATGAGGGGAGTCAGTGTGCGAGATAAGGCTGCCAGCAAGTAGGATAGGGATGGGTTGCAAGATCTGGGAGGGAGGTGGGCTGCATAAGTGGGAGAGGTTCCATGGTCTGGGTGGGTGGTAAGGTGCAGAAGTAGGCTGGGAGTAGGGTATCTGGCCAGGTGGAGGGAGCAATGGTGGATGCAGGAGCAGGGTGGAGGTTGGTGTCTGGCAAGGCCGGGGGGGGGATAGGGTGTCTGTCCAGGAGGGAAGGTGCAGGAACAAGGGAGGGTATCAGAGCAAGCCTGGCTTCGTATCCCCTTGAAGCAACTGCCGTGGCCACATGGTGTCAGCCCCGGAGGCCAGAGGCGCCACTGTCATGCAGATCCGGGCCAATCTTGGACTAAACCTGTACTGCTTGGCTGCGGCAATGGCGCCTCCGGTCCTGGACTGAGTGGCCACGGCAGTGGCACCTCTAGTCTGAGCTGAGGTGCTGCTGACTAGCCTCAGTCCCAGCACT